CAAGGAAGTCCTAGAGCCTTCAAGCATTGATCTAGTGATAGTGTTGGCGAATATGGCTAAGGACAAAAAGGGATTTAATGGGGACTAAAAAAGGGATGTTAGGGAAGGTTATTCCTTATGTCTCTGGGCATTTTAAGGGTGCTAAGGTGTAGTCAAGGGATGACCACTCATGGACAGATGGCCTAGTCTTTAAGAGACGGGACTGTGATGTAAGTGGTGTTAGACTACTGATGTGATAAGGGTGAATAGGCATAGCCTTAGTGTAACGGGCCGATATGTCAGTGGTATATTTGGGTATCAATAATAGGATCAGACACATAGAGCACTTGGGGTTGAGTGGCATAGATGCCATTCACAGGGCTAACAAGTCTTTAAGTCCGGAATAAGATTTATGAAGGTTATGAGTGAGACTCCTCCAAGTGGTCGAGGTGTGGTCAAGCTTATGCATGATGTTAGTGGTGTACTTTTCAATATAGTTAATATTTCAATATAGTTTAGACCCTTATCACTATAGAGTTTCTATAGATGATAAGTATGGATTAAGAGATAATCAAAGCTCTGGCCTCTAAACTTTGGCCTCTACACAACTCTTTTCTAATGTAGCAAAGAATTAGGGTGGTCCTTAAGAATCTTGTAATAATTCTGGCCTAGTCTAGGAAGAGAGTTATAACAATATCAGAGTGTATATTGTGGAGTTAGGATCTCACATATATAATCTTGGATTAATGGAATAAAAATGTTCTAAATACAAATCTAAAAAGGAAAAGGATATCAATGTTCTTACTTTTTTGTAATTAATTTTTATATAACTATATTTAATCCAGATTTAATTTAAGATATTACATCTGTCTTTAATCATTAAGATATTATGAATATTTATTTTTAACTTCCTAAAAAAACTAGAAATTGTTATTTATAGTATACTTTATCTCTCTCCCTTTAATCCAATTGAAAAGGGAGTAAAGGTTTGATAAAAAGCCCTTAGTGGCTATTTTATTCCTATTTTTCTCTCAAGAGTCCATAGTGATGGTATATTTAAATCTCATCCTATAATCAAATGTGTTATATGATTATATTTTTTTTATGAATTATTTATTTTTTAAGAAATGGAAAAAATTAAAGAAAGTTGACAGAGCATTGACATAGATATCTTATAATGTTCTAGAAATGCTTATAATCTATAACAGTAGCAATCCAAAATCTAACATTATAAATTTCTTATAGCCAACACTGAGGGTTTAGAGAAAATGCATTACTTAGATCATAATCTGAGATCAATGTCAAACAATAGAAGAAGTCAAGGTAGATGTTAATCATCTTCAAATGGCCTCTACAGTAAAAAGTTATGGAGCAAGAGCTTTGCATTGGCTTTACCATCAATAAGGTCTAGACTTACTCCATGATTCTATTTTTGACATTATGCATACTATTGCTTTGCAAGATATAAACAATATGATATGGAAGAAAATCTGAGAGGCTAAGAAGGAAGCAATTGCAAAGGAGCACCTTCATCTAATGTTGCAAAAGTGGTCCTTAAGCATGAAAGTTGGGTAGACTGCCAGAAAGACCTTTGGAACACTTAGCTTTCTGGAAAGCATCTGAGCATCGACAATTTTCAATGGTATGGTGATTATGTTTTTAGAAAACTTCTAGGACCCAGATGATCTTAAGCTTATACAAATAAGCACTAATATTACAACGATTTTTTTTTTACTTTAGATGAGACTATGGTTGGAATGTTGAATAATTGTTAGTTTTGAACTATTTATTATCAGCATAGAGAGTGTTATAAGTAAAATGTTTTGGTGATAACAAGAAGATACTCCATTATGTTTTTGGAGATGGGCATATGGTTCAAGATATATTTTATATTGGACCACATGATGCAACATGGTGCTACATATATCAGAGAATGTCTGGTGATATTAACATATGAAGACAAAGTATAAGCAAATAGACATTAAATATCATTTCTAATTCCTTTTTTTCTAGGTTTTCTTATACTAGAGTACAAGCTTTGCTCTTTAAAGATTATGATCATATTCTTCCTCCAGTTGTAAAAAGCTTGCATGAAGTTAAAAATACAAATTGATACTTAAGTAAGTAAACACTTTCTTTCTCTACAATGTTTTCAATCTTTTTTCCATAGGATATATTGGAGCATTCTGCCAAGAATTAAATAAAGCTTTATTTGCTAAGGCTCCAAACTCTGATTGGGACGATCTGATAAAGGAGAAGGGAATTCTTATTGGCAAGGGATTTAATTGACCTAATGCAATTGTGGGATTTAACAATATAACTGAGGATGTGTTGTCCAGTGACAAAGTTCAAATTTATTTTGGCAGTGGGATATATCTTTGGAGGCTCAAATGTTCATATGGTAGAGAAGAATCCAGCTTGGGGAGAACTTCCTTGGATTGGGAAGTTTAAATATACTTCTGTTTCTAAGTTTGAACAAAGCTACAAAATAAAACATGTTTTATTTATTTTATGTATCTTTTGTATTCTTTTGGAAGTTTACTTTGTAGTAGATTATTTTTGTTATGAAATAATGAATGGTCATCCAAAAAAATGTGAGTTTTCAAGTATACATTTGCTTGCAAGTGCAATGTATAAGTTTGGTGTTAATTGAATTCAACCTGTTGAGCTCATAGAGTGTGTGGTTTCAATCCAAGATGGAAAACGGTGTGGACTTCAAATTTTTTAGGGGTAAAAACCTCAAGGTTACCAAGTAGGCTTAGGGAACATTGTTGTAATATAGCCAAAAGCTCATGATATTCTTCAAGTGAGAACTTGTGAAGTTTAATATGTCTATGTTGATCATGTTTTTTATGCAGAGAGGAAGGTCCAAATCATCTTGCTGCAACACATGAAAGGCTTGCCTAAAACCATTTATGCACTTACATATCAAAATTGGCAAAGGCTATCTTGGGATGTATTGATTAGAATCATTGATGCAGGTAGGCTAGAACTTGATAGTGTAATATTAATAATTTGCTGCACATTGCTTCTTACTCCTATTTCCATTTTCTCTCTATCTCCTAGTTTTTATATCCTTTACCCTCTATCTATGTGCAATACTTGGGCCATTCTTTTCCACCTTGTAAGCTGGGTTTTGCTGCATCAGAGCTGTAGGTATAAATTTATATATTATTCCAAGCTCTCCCAAGAGCATACTACTTAGATCGCAATCTAGCTGCTGGAGGCAGAATAGAAAGCTAGGCAAATTCGTTTCGAGGCTTGGTCACAAATGTTTGGCCTGATTTTAAGCACTGGCTACATCAATCTCTCACCTCATGAGAGATTGTTTGAAGACTTGCTAGGGGAGCAGGTATCTTCAGGTCCATGGCCCGTGGAAGTCTCTCGCAATGGGTAAACTTTGTGCCTCACCACCAATGCCTTTGACCACCTCAGAGCTGATGTTTCCAACAATTTATCAAGGCATTTGATCAAACAGGTATTTGGCTTCATCGATTTGCCCCGCTTGAGCATTTGAGCAGGTATGTTTTCAGGCATCCAAAAAGTTCATTGTGGAAGCTCATTATAGGTCAAACATCCCTTGGACGCCTTATAGACCACTTGGCCAAGCTGTCATATATTTGGCAAATCATAATATTCAACACAACTCATCTTATAATCACCAAAGTCATTTCCCTGGTTTTTGTTCTAGTTGCTTTGTTTTCTTGACCTGGTCTAGACTGACCATGGAAAAGCAGGTCCTTCTGAGCTATCAGCTCACCCTCTTCCTCCATGTGAGCAAAGGATTTTAAGATATTTTAGTATTAACAAAAACAAGGAATATTCTCAAAGCTAGTCATAAATTAATTAGTTTTTTACGTATATTTGTTAAAGTAAGCAAAAGGAAGATTCTTGAATAAACTTATTCTTTGAGATAGTTTCAGAAAATTGGATACATCCACGCAAGGAAAAGGAAAAATCCGAGTGTGCTCGTGGCTAGCACCACCGATCCGACTGGCACTGGATTTCGACCTCCTCAGCTTGGACTGCGGGCTGGAAATTCACATCGAAGACGACCGGCAAGCTTGCGAGAAACGAGACGATGGTCGATACGATTCCCATCCAGTAAGCCCACGTGCGAGACAGAAAGAGCCTGGTCAAAGACGGAGCTGGGGACGATGCTCTCCACGAAAATCCGGGCAATCAAAATCCCAGAAGCAAGCACAAGCAAGAGAGAAACGAAGCTCATTCTCATTCTCGCTCGCTCTCTCTCTCGTTCTTTTTTTTTTCATTTTAGGGATTTCTGCAACCGGGAGTGCGGGCTACCCCACCTCGGAGGAAAGGACTCGGCTATCTTCTGAATCGTGCTCGATCGAGGCAATGCAGGTGAAATATACGCTCTTGTACTCCGACATCTTCCAATCCAGAAAAGCCTCCTCGCTCTCTCCGGTAAGAGTTTTCCTTTTATAGTCTTTAGCCCACACCGTGCCAAGAGCTTCTCCAGCTCTCGTAGTCTGTCCCTTTGGGATCTTTGCGTTCTTCAGTTTTTTGGGTGTGTTGTGGCGAGTTTCTTACTTGATTTCACGGTTTTTTCCAGGACGTCCCTACGTATATCAACTCTTGGTGAAAACTAAGAAAAAAGTTGGAAGGCAAGCAGTTTGGAGTTTGCTTATTTGCCTGGTATAAATGAATAACTTAAAATTTATTTTATATTAGTGATATAACATTAAATTAAAAAATATCTTAGAATATACTTGAAGATTTTAATATATACCCAGTTAACTTCTAACATATGATTTTCAGATTGAAAAGTAACAATGCATCCGTGTATCCACAGCTTCTTCCTATTCCATAAAATATTATACATGTCGCAGCTTCTTCCTCTATTCCATAAAATATTATACGGACTGTCGTTTTCTGGAAGTCCACCACGTATGGGCCACGAGGCGAAATTGTGATGTCTGCTGCCACCTTGCAGTATACCAGTTATGTTGAGTAAAGGAAAATGAACAGATATAATAACAACTATGACTCAAGAAAAATCAAGTGATTGTATGGTTGATTGCTTCTATCTTCTACTACATGCTTGATCTGATACCATTCTTGGCAAGTTGAGAGAGGGATATGTCTACAGCAGAAGGAGGAGAAGCAGGACGGCGTCACTTGGTTGTTCTTCCTCTATCGGCTTACGGCCATACCATTCCAGCTCTCCTGCTCGCAGATCGGTTATTGAATCTCGGCTATGAAATCACTTACATCTGCCCAGAGTACAGGATGAAGCAGCTTCTGCAGCAATCCAAAGCCCGAGGGTGCAGCCAGGAAATCAGATTCAAGACGCTCAAGAGGACGAATCCAGTCGCCGGCAAATCGGAGCTGAGCGTGCACGACACAATCCAGATTCTAGCCTCGGTCATACTCGACTACCATGAGAATTCAAAGGAGCTCAAGGAAATCATGGAAGAGCTCTTCATCTGCGGAGGAACTCCGCCGAGCTGCATCATTTGCGACGCTGTTGTGTCGCTCTGGGCTCAAGATGTAGCCAACGAATTCAAGATACCCTGGATTCTGTTCTTCGCATCGCCGGCTCTGGCACTGACGCTCGTGTTCTACACGAGATATCTGAAAGAGCAAGGGGAAGTGCCAGTTGAGAAGATGATCGAGATTCCTGGGATGGAAAATTCGGGGCTTTCTCTTGTGCATCCCGATGAGAATTGCGTTCCGAGGGATGATCTGGGATCTGATGCTTTTGAGTTCTTCTTGGAGAGTTGCCTCAAGATCCATGATGCGGTTGGAGTTATGTGCAACACGATGGTGGAGCTTGAAGCTGATGCATGCAAGGCACTAGAGGAGAACAGGCTGATCAATCCCAACAATGTCCCATTCGCGGCGATTGGACCTCTCTTGCCAAGATCATGCTTGGAAGAATCAGAATCAGATCAAACATTTGAAGAAAATGAAGCATTCGAAGGAGCTGAGAAGAAGGATGCTTGTTTGAAGTGGCTTGATCAACAAACTGAAGCTTCAGTCGTGTACATCTCGCTGGGCAGCTTGGGGGAGGCGTCTGCGGAGCAAGTGAAGGAATTTGCATTCGGGCTTGAAGCGAGCAGGAAGGGATTCTTGTGGGTTTTGCCAGGCGATGGGGTTGAGAGCTTGCCAGATGGATTCTTAGAAACAGCAACAGGAATTGCTGTAAACAACAGGGGATTTGTGCTGCGGACTTGGGCTCCTCAGCTGCAGGTGCTCAAGCACAGAGCGACTGGAGGATTCTTAACTCACTGTGGATGGAATTCAACTCTGGAAAGCATGAGCCATGGTGTGCCTATGATCACCATGCCTTTCTTCACGGAGCAAGGAGGGAATGCGAAGATGATCGTGGAGTATTTCAAAATCGGAGTGAGGCTCCCGAAAGATGAGAGTGGAGTGATCACAAGGCACACGATTGAAGTAGCTGTGAGGGAAGTCATTGAGAACGATGCAATGAGGAAGCGAGCTGCAGAACTGAAGCAAGTCGTACGAGCCACTGCAAAAGCTCCTCCATTGAAAACGAAGGCCTTCCTTGAACAGATTTTGAATAAATACTAAATAACATATGTTGTTTTTGAATAAATAAAATATTATTTTTAATTTAAGATAAATACCAACTACTTTAATTCATAACTGCAAGTCATTAATATTCTTAAATGAGCAAAAGAAGCACTTCCAAGTATTAGAAATGGGCAGATCCAATTATGTGTTTTGGAGGTTGAAGGTAGGAATTTTGAAAGGTGACAATATAACAATAGAAAGAACCAACTTATTTGCAATATATGATGATGTGTTGTTTCATTTCTCATCCAATTCTAGCTAATTTGACCTTTAGCTTCCCTCCAAGTTGGCCAAGCTCAAGGCATGAAGGGGGTTGGCAAAAAGGGAGCCAGGTCAAGGAGAGCCAAGACAGTTGACTAAAGAATATTTTGTTGTAATATGTATTACTGCTTAAGGAGTATTTTGATTTTTAATGCCATTCTTTGAATATACTAAGAATTTTCTTGTGTAATAAATTAATATTTAAAAATATTTTGTCATTATAAAATCATGTAAATAATTACAATTATATCTTATGTTGTAACTATAAACTATTATATAATATCAAATATATTATAGCTATAATAAATTATATCTCAAATCCACACATAATCTATACATATAGAAGAATCATGTTGCTTTTTTCTTCTCTCTTACTTTTTTGCTTTTCTCTCTCTTTCTCCTATACATGATTATCAACAAGCTTTGAGATGAGAGCCAACTTCTCTTTAATATGCATGTTATAATATTCTTGATGCCTCTTTATAAACTTAGCTATAACCTTCATATAGGATGACACATCATCAAAAACTTTCTTGATGATAACACGCTGCAACCATTGCATGATGAGGATTACAATTTAGTCTAAAGGTATTGCTATAGCATACACTCTATAGTGATTTACTATACATTAACTATGGAGAAGAACTTTAATCCTTGAACATATAGGCTAAGGGCAATAGGGTAGAACCTAAGTTTTAGGGTCTTGGGGGCCACTAAACAAAAGGATAGAGCCAAACTCCCAAGTTACATTCGAAGAGTGAAAGAACTAAAGTATGAAACAACTTTTAAACATATAGTCTTAAGTGTGAAGGAAAAAGAATATGAAATGACATTGTCCCGCGACAACGATGGGGTGGATTTCCTAGCGGAGCTGCTGGGAGTTTTAGCGCGTGGGCACTTGTGCCAAGTGAGCTTGGACATTGGAATAGTTTTAGAGAATCTAGCATCACAATGCTAAAACTAGTATGCAAAACAAAACTAAATGGAATTTGGCACTATTTCAGCATACTAATGGCCTAACACAAAGATATAGGTACTCTATTAGTTAGCATGGTATGGAGTTTGAGTTACACTAGATGTAGAATAAAGATAGGCATACAAACAAGAGCTAAACTATGTCTTAAGTTGGTCAGCCATACTTAACCTACCCACTATCCCTACCCCCCATAACCCCCTCCTTTAGATAGCTTTTGATACTCACAGTCATATTTGTGACAATTGCAATTATTGCATTAAGCATTAACCAAAAAAGCCTCTATATCATTAAAGAAGTTAAACATACAATTGCCCTCATGACAAAAGTATTGCCTAACCATATTTGCTAAAGCTTTTAACTTTTGCAAAAGAAGTTGCTTATAGAAAACATTAGAAGTATTTTCTTACTTAAAATGAAATGACTTACCAAGCTTTGTATTCAACATCATCTATGGCAATGTTGGCTGGTTTATGTTAGAGGAGATTCAATAAAAGGTTCAAAAGCAAAGTTGTTTTTTCCCTTGCTTCCATTCTTTTACAGAATAATAGCATTGAAATAGCTTTAATCTATATTGGAAAATTTTACTAATTAGAAAATATATAAAATTTAAACATGCTTCTTGCCTATAAAGCTATAGCTCTAGTATACAGTCTTTGATTAGGATAAAGTGAGCCTGAGAAAACATTTATGCTATTTCAATGTCATCTTAAAAGTTCAAAACTAGCTGAAAGTCTCACAAAACTCATTTGCAAAACTCACACTAAAATAAAGCTAAGTTAGATCACTATTATCATATTTCTTCATTAGACCCTCGGCAACTCTAATGAAGCTAAAGGGAAGTCAAGGATAACCAAGAAATTATTCAATAAGTGAGCACCAAAAATATTAAAAGAAAAATTTACTTGCTCAATATGAAGGTTTACTAATAGAGAAACTCTAAAAGTGGTAAAATATAAACTTTTTCAACTCCTCAAGAATTAACTTATGCTACTTAAAAACCTTAGTATCTAGAGTTTGTTGATTTTTACCAATCTCAGGATCATTATAAGAATTCTTATCAATGTATTTTTTTATATGTCTTTTAGCCCTCTTGAATAATGACTTCAGCCAAATCTTCTACAATCCTATGCTAGATAACAAGGTGGCTAAATGCTTTTGGTGCCTTATTTGGGTCATTGATATATAATTTCCACCCAGAAGACTTTCTTAATTTTTTCTTTGAAACTTAGATCTTTTCCACCTCAAGATTAGTTGGAAAAACACAGTTAAAAGCAAAATAAATAGAGAAATTTTATGGGTTTACTAGGTGTGGTAGATGACTTTGGTGCTTTTTGAGTAACATGCTTTTTCTTTTTTTGCAATTGTGTTTTCATTTTGATAGATTTGTCAACATTGTCAAATTCCATCAAGAATTCCTTCTTGATGGTTGTTCTCCTTGAACTAATCTTATGCATGTGAGTTTTGTATTTCTTTCTCCCCTTTTGGCACCACAACAATGCTAAGGATAGTTTTCTTATTTGTAATTTATGACTTCTGTACATTTATGTAGCTTCTTGTCCTTATGAAGGTAGGTGAGGTGGGATAACCATAGCTCAATAATGGTTAGAATCACATTCTATAGATTTGAAGTATATGAAAAATAGAGAGTTAAAACTTGAAGAGTACAATATGATGAAAGTGTTATTTATTATAGCGCATGTGATCATGGGATAAGATTTGGATATATTGTCATCCTGGATTTTTAAAACCTTGGGGGGTAAGTGGGTATAAAATAACCACTAAGGGCTCTATTATCAAACAATTACCCTTTTTTCAGTTAGCTTAAGGGGAAAAAAATAAAGTATGTTACACTTATATTGGTTAATTTTTTGCATTACTACATTATTTATTTTGTCCCTCTAGTCCTCATCATAATCTTCTTTGATCATTATTAGAAACTAACTAAAACTATAGCTAAATTTGTAAATCCCAAACTTGAACTCACACTTGTTGTAATACTCCAAAATTATTTTGTACTTTGATGAATCTACTTTAAAGAAGAATTTTTTACCCACCTCAATATACCTAATCATTTTTTCTACCACCTTATTTTTCATCACTTTTTTCTTTTACCAAACTTTGAATGACTTATTAGTAGTTAGGACTGAAGAGTAAACAAACTTATATGATCCATCAGTTGCTTTCAACTCCTTGAATGTTGCTAATTTATACAAATTTGTCAAAGCTATCATATTTAGCTTTTTGAACATGCATTAATTATATTGTGGATCCTTTGCATTGAATTAAACCATTCCACCCCAAGACTTGAATGCAAGATGTTTATTAGTTTTATCATCTTTGATATATATGTTTTTTTTAAAATTTTTACTCATCTCTAGCAGTGGCATCAATATTGAGGCTCTTTTTTTTCAATTTCTCCAAGTTCTTATTGATGTTGTACTAAAAATAAAATAAAAAAATCACAATGAATACTTTAGCAAATTTAAACACTTTAAATAAGATGTGTATATAGATGTATCAGAAGAATTTGGCATAGCTATTGTGCTTCTTGGACTAGTTTTCCTTGGCTATTATCACTCTGAGGTAGACTATTTCCTTATTCATGAGCTCATTTATAATCTTGCTAGCATATACTTGGAAATGTTTTGCATAGCCATATGGAAGAGTAGTTTTGATTATTGCATCTTCATATTGCCTATATAAGAAAAATTTATCCCCTTTATCCCCTCATTTGAAGAATTTGTTTTTTTTAAGTGTCAAGGTAGAAAGGAGAAAGTAAAAAAAATTGAGAAAAAGCCATTTTGGAAAAAGAAAAAGTGGATAAAGAAGCATTGAAAGAGGAATTTATAGTAGCTGACAATGCAAAAATAAAGAAATCAAAAGAAGGACATGTGCTGAAAGTTTGGAAAATAGCAGACTTCTTATCATAAAATACTTCAGCCACTATAATATAAGCAAAAGGTTCACACTGCTCAACCTCCTCAACACACGATTCAACACTTGAAATGGGAAAATCAATCACAACATCCACACTTTTAAGGGAATCTATAAACTCCTTAGTAGCAATGGTAAAGTCAAGGCTGACAACAATACTAATAAGTGGGGACACAACTGGAAATTCTGGCAAAAATGACTCAAACCTTGGAATATGGGAATACTCAACACTAGAATTGATTAAAAATTTTATCAATGAAATAAAAACAAGATTTTCAACTTCATACACATACTCAATATCCAGATTAGTATGAAGAGGACAAAAACCACTCAATATAACACTAGATTGAGAATGAGAATTATAACAGTCATAAATGATAAATGTGCCAGGAGAAGAAAACACTGCAAATGAAGATGGCTCAGAATAAGAATAAGAAAAGGTTGGGAAAGAGCAAAAGGTAAAGAAAAAGGATCAGATGGCAAATTGAAAAATTGACACCTACCCCACGAAATCTCCAACTCATCTCCAAAGCTATCTTTATAATAATCAAATTCCTCATCACAATCTAGAATCTATTTGAGCTTATAAACATTGGCTTCCCATAAATTCGATCCTTGAACATTCTCCAAGAACTAAACTACATCATCTATAGCTCACCAATTGATGTCATGATCACGCTTCATATCAATAGGAGATGGCAGAATATCAAGAATATAACAAGTTATATAATCACACCCCATGGAAGTATATACCAAGGATGGGTGTAGCATCAATATGATCACACCCTACAGCACCAAAAGTTCAATTCAATGAAGTAACATTAATAACCTTAAATGACA